GAGGGACCCAGGAGTCCCATAGCTTCTGACTCGCTGACGTTCCGGCAAACGAGGATTCCCTAGGCAAAGGAAACAGATAGTTGGCCGCTCATTTCGAGCTTTGATGCAGACAGACGCAATTGCAAGGGGAAGTGTGATCTTTCCTTCCTCGGGTGAAGGGCATTCTTGCCTTTTCGCAGGGGGTGCAGAAGGTAAGTCGTCGATGGCGCGACGTTTCTGGGTAGCTTTTGATCGCCTTGTGGGAGTACCTTCTTCCACATCACAGAAAGTGATAACCGCGTTGATTGCAGCAATCCGGCGTTGATACTCCTTCTCGACAGTGGAGCCTGGCATGGTCAAGATGGTGTCGATCAATATCATATGCTGCGGAGTCATATATCCTGTCCGCTCCAGGGCACCCATACAACTCCAAGAGGAAACAACCAAACCAGATCAACTTTTACCACACTTAAAAGACACAGAAGACAAATCAAATCGCACCAACAGAATCCACCGGTCCTCAGGCCCGATTCCCCTTCTTCGCACGGCGAAGAGAGCCACTACCAGCCCCAGCCCAGCCAGGCCGGCGGAGCACCACAGACCCGTCGAGTACTGGTGGGCGAGATCGTGGCCCTTCTCGATGTCGACTGCCTCAGTGACGGCAGCGGAGATGGCCAGGGCGACGCCGGAGCCGATTTGGAAGGCTGTGTTTAGCTTTTGAGTCCTAGTTTCATTCTCGTGATGTAAGGTAGGTGGGAGAAGGGGGCGTACCATTCCGCCACAGAGGCTTTTCACGTTAATCGGCACGGTGGTCAGGATGCATGTGCTGGTTGTTACGAAGATGAGCGAGATGGCTGTGATGCTGATTAGGGAGGTGGGGAAGACGTTGATCCAGCTTGGATGGTGGTGTCAGCACTAGCAAGATGAGGTTGAACCAGGATGAGAACGTACAAACTCGACTCCGGGCTCACGGTGATGGAGCTCGGGATCGGCGCCACCACCGTCAGCACCAGCCCCGCGATGAGCGTGTACTTCCCGTTCACGAACTCCAGCAACTTGCCCGTGCCCATCGAGGCCACGAACCCGATCGCCCCCATCGGGAGGAAGCGCAGCGCCGTCTGGCCCGCCGACAGCTTGTCGACCTCCTGTGCCGTCAGCACGATGTAGTAGATCACGTTCTGGTAGCTGCCGTAGCAGGCTATGACTATTAGTATCTATTGACCAGAGAGAAAGGGATGCCAGGGGCACGTACTGAAGCCCGCGATTCACAGTCCCGCGAAGTTGGGGATCTTCCACAGCGAGAGCGGCATCAGCGGATACGCGATGTATTTCTGCAGCATGGTGAACGCGACCAGCAGCGCCACCGCCAGGATCAACAGCACGATGATGAACGGCTGGCTCCAGCCGTAGGATCCCCCGCTCGACAGGACGAACTGCAGCAGAATCAGTCCCACCGTCGACATCGACGCGCCCACGAAGTCCATCTTCGGCTTCTCCTTGGCCATGATGTCTTTTGGGAGAACGACGGCACCTAGAATGCCCAGCGATCCCGTGATGATTACGATGAAGTAGTAGATGTATCGCCAGCCCAGCGAGGAGGTCAGGAACCCCCCGAAGATCAGGCCCACGCAGAACCCCAGTGTTCCTGATGAGGCGTAGATGGCTAGTCCGCGCGTGCGATCAACGCCCGTGAAGTAGGCGCTGATGATCCCGATCGCGGATGGAACGGTCATTGCTGCTCCGATGCCTTGCAGGCCTCGGAAGACTGTGAGCTGGATGAAGGACTGGCCGAAGCCAATCGCCAGGGTCCAGACAGACAGCCAGAACAGGCCGATGCAGAGAATGTTCTTCCGGCCGTATCTGGTCGAAGGTTAGTTAAAGGGTACTGACACCCAAGGCATGGAGACGCTTACTGATCGGAGAGCACGCCGGCAAGAAGCAGGAAGCCGCCAAACGTCAAGGTATATGCGGAGATCATCCATTGCAGGTTTGTGCTGGTCACGTCGAAGTCTTTTTGGATCGAGGAGAGAGCGACGTTGGCGCTGGTCATGTACACGTTATCGAGGAATTGGGAGCCCGAGGTCACCAGCAGGATCAGCGCGCCTCGCCAGGAGGCCAGCCGACCGATCTCCGGACATCTTCCCAGGGGAGCGAGGCTCTTCTCTTCTGTGGGTGTTGCAAAGCCAGATGAGGATTCACTATTCGGTTGAGAGGACTTGGGACTCGAGAAGACAGTGAAGTGAGGGCCCTTGGCCTCCTCGTCCACGACCGGGACCTCCTGGTCCCTGTTTCGAAAAACGAGGTCGAAAATGGCCATGATGTGCTTTGGATGAAGAGATAGAGAGGAGTGCACGCTACTC